TGTCAGTCCAATTCATGGCCGAGCAAAAGGATATTTTCAGGCTTTACCATTTACACCAATGGTTCTGACCGGTTTTACCAAGGAGCTTACAATGTTTACCTGAAGTTTTTTCCTACTTTTCCTTCACATTTTATTTTTCCCTAACTTAACATGCGCAAGAAAGCATTTGTCATGGTCTTTCTGTGCCAGTTTCTGACAGATCCCTCTATAAACCACAAAAGGCTTGAGTCATCATCTGGAAACATCTGATGTCCCGTTGTCACTGGAACCGTTTAAGCATTTGAGAGGAGGCTATCCATAACACCCCCAACCACCCCAAGACATCAGCCATTTATCTTGGCCTGAACCGGATATTTACCAATGTGATGCAAGATATTTCTCTGCTGTGCCGCCTGTGCGCCGTTATGAAATTGTTTTGATGGTGCATGAAGCCTATGCTAAGCAATAAGTGGGTCATTATTGTTTGGTTGCCCAGAGACGGTGCAGAGATGCAAATATTTCACCTCATAAACAATCAGACGAGACTACAGACGTCTTGCTGTGGTCAGACTGTATAACGCTACTTGGCAAAGGCTAAATGAGACTTGCGGTTTCATGCCACAGGTTGCACAGTGCCAGATTGCAGTATCTGAAATATTAATGCAGTATAATGCAAACTCTTCCAACTACAATTGCTGCTCTAAAGAATGTGTAGGTTGTCCAAACACCCAGAATCTCTCTTTTTTTTTTTCTTCTAGTGGTTCTGTGGCCAGAAACTGTGGTTCTGAAACTTTTTAGGCCTAATACCATTTTCTAATTAAATTAGCACTCTGCACCAAAAAGAAAATGTAATAATTTTGTTGGAATGTACTGCTTTAAATGCCACTAGACAATGTATTGACTCAAATGGTTGTTTAAAAAAAAATCACCAAGAAAAATCTTTTTTTGTTTTAGTTGTCAGTTTTTCGTTACTACTATTTGTGTCTTTTAAAATGCATTGATCTTGCCATATATGCTGCTTTGGCAATTAAAAATAAAATATATACAATTTACACTGTGAATATGGGCTGTGGATGATGAGTCTTAAATACATGAATGTATATTAAAATTGGAATGAGACATAAGGTAAACATAGAGAAATATGTGAGTATACAATAAAAATGTGTTAAAATAACTAATTAAATGTATAATTTGTATGTTTATAATAATAATATAATTTAAAGATTTTATATTTAAAGATTATTTTATATATTAAGAATAGGCTATATTTTAAAATATACTGTACAGGTAAAGTAAAAATATTTTTTTTGTATAATTCCAGATTGTGTGCCACCTGTCTAAGAAGCACTAGTATAAAACTGTGTATTTGAAATCATATTGTCAGATGTAATAGGGCTGTACGTATTCTCAAGTGCAGATAAATATAAGATGAAAGTATAACATCAAAGAGGTTTTCTGTTGAAATATTATATATTTTTCATTGTTATTATTTGAAGATGCTCTCAGAAGCATCCTCTCTTTATAGCTCTGTATCCTGTGAGTGATGTTTTTGTTCATGTAACATGCGCCATAGGATCCCCCTTTCCCCAGCAGCCATGGTTTCCCAGATCCGCAGAAAATATCCGCACTCAGATTTCACCCTCCTATGGGATCTTGTTTGTATCCGTGCTCAATCCCAGCAGAGCTTTATCAGCTCTGTTGTATTGTTTTCTTTCTTTGTATTTGTGTGTTAGTACTCACAAATTCTCCCCTGCTATTGTTACAGTCTGCAGTTCAAGGTGAGCCAGTCGCTGTGTTTTTATGAGCTTAACTATTCACCTCTTTTTGTTTTCCTGTGTTTTATTCCCTCAGAATGCTGAAATCTCCGTCTTTGAAGTGAACATCCGTTTTGTTGGAGGCCTGCTGTCCGCCTATTATCTCTCAGGCAAAGAGGTATGTAAACCTGGAGTGTACAGATGTTTTTTTCATGTTTTACCAGACTGAATATGTGCTTATGGCCAAAGGATTTGATATGCAAGCTGGCTATAATTGACAAGCTGCCTGAAGGAAGCTGTAAGCTTGTAGCTGGCATTTGTTCTCGGCGCGTTTAAAGACAGTTTCCTTGAATCTCTGTGTGAAACTGTTGGAAATCAGTGACATTTATAGTTGGCAGCACACAATAGGCCTCTCAGGAGAGCCATAGGGGCCTCAGGTCTGTCTTGTCCCGGTGGTCCGGCTGTTTGTCCAGACGTTGAGCCAAGTCAAACAAACACACACACACACACACACGCCATCCCACTTAGAGCTCGTTTTAAGATCCCGGCACATCCAGGAAGCTCTGTGCCCACTCTGCTAAATTGAAAGCCTTTTTTAAACCAAAAAAAAGATGTTGGACTCTCAAGCGTGACCTGAAGCGCACACACAAAGCCCATTTCCAAGGCTTCGTTGAATTAGGCTAATGCAGAACTTTGCTCATATTTCCGATCTCCCCTCCTGTAAATTAGATTTTCCCAGCAGCATCTGGCAGAATGTGAAGGATCTGATTCAAATCAGAAGAGTGGCATTTTCCGCTGATACTCAGGGCTTTCTCGTTGTGTCCTGCAGCAAATGTGCTCTCGGTGATAGTGTAAGCTTTCATTTGTTGCAGTGCGGAACAGAGCTTTGTCCGGAGAGGGAACAGCTCACTGTGTGAGCTTCATCAAGCCTGTGCTTGTGCGGTTGTGTTGATGTAAGGCAGACCCTTCAGCAGAACAGACATCTCTCCTCCTACTAGCAGAGAATAGCTATAGTAGTGCTGCAGAAGAAAGATGAGTTCCAATGGGTAACGTGTTGTTTTTCCTGGAGGAATGACTCAAGCTTGAGCTTGTACGATGTTAAACAGTTGTTCTTGTATTTCATGTTTTATTTATGGTCTTGAATAGGAGAATATATGAGTAAGATATATGTATATATATTTTTTGTTAAAATTATTTTATTCAGCAAAGATGCATTAAATTGATCAAAAGTGTCAGTGAAGACCTGTATAATGTTACATAAGATTTCTGTTTTATATTGATGCTCTTCTTTTGAACCTTCTATTCACCAAAGAATTCTGGAGAAAAAAAAAAGATGAATAAAAAAATGATGGTTTCCGCAAAAATATTAAGCAGCACAACAGTTTTTAATATTTATAATAAGTAATGTTTCTTGAGCACCAAATCAGCATATTAGAATGATTTCTGATAGATCATGTTACACTGAAGGCTATGTATATTATATATTAAATAAGCTTGCAGTAGTTCATATTGCTGAATAATTAAATTAATTTGGGAAATTATTGGACATTTTATTAGGCTACATTTAGAATTTCATTAAATTTGAATTAAAATACATTTCATGATTTTTAAATTCATTTCATTTGTCACGGTTCAAACTTTATTTGAAACTTTATTCAAGATAAAATTATTGGTAACACTTTATTTCTTGCTGAATAATTAAATTAATTTGGGAAATTATTGGACATTTTATTAGGCTACATTTAGAATTTCATTAAATTTGAATTAAAATACATTTCATGATTTTTAAATTAATTTCATTTGTCACGGTTCAAACTTTATTTGAAACTTTATTCAAGATAAAATTATTGGTAACACTTTATTTCAAGGTGTCCTATTGTCCATGTACTTACTATTATAATAACAATAAACAATGCACAATTACATGCAAGTAACCCTAAGCCAAACCCTAATCCTAACCCTAACCATATAGTAGGTACATGTAAATAATTCATATTACTTAGTACTTAAATGTATAATTACACTGTAGCAAGGACACTTAAAATACAGTGTAGCCAAATAATTTATAACAAATGAATAAGTCTAGAATAATGTATTTCACTAATGCTCTCACATAAAGCATTCATGCCTATTGAACGCCATACAAACCCTATAGCACAATCTCTACAGTTGACACATTATAGCATCATACCGCCCAGCCCAATCCAAAGCTTTTAATGAAACATGATGACCTCTATATGTCATCCCACACTGAGATTCTGTATGACGGGTTACACAAGATGGGTGTGTGACGAAACCAAACGCTGTCTGTTGAAGTGAATGGCTAGTTGTCAAACACCGTTTCAGATAACAGTTGAGGTCTCCGTTATCTCCCTTGTTGAGAATAGTCTTACAGCGATGTAAATCTTTGAACACTACATTATTGTTCTCTCAGCAAGACGCAAGCTCGTTTCATCACCGTGTATCGACGGGGGAGGCACGACATGGTTGAATACAAAGTGGGCAGCATAGAGTCCAGGACTCAAGCACAGCGCTGATGAAAGTCCTTCAGTGTAGTAATCTCACACACTCAGGATAATGAGACGCCCTCCTGCCTACTTTCATAATAATGTGTGCCCTGAACTGAGAAATGTTGATTACAGGAGATAGCCTTCAGGTAGCCGCTCACATTGTTAAACCACAGCGAGAGATCTTGGTAAATGTGTCTGCCTTTAAATTCCCACTGGGCTTTGGAAAATGTAATCTTTTGGAGACCAAACCTATTATTGGATTCCATGAAAACACCGCATGACTAAATCGTCACTGGAGGTTGATGGCTACGTCATCTGCATAGAGAAGACATGTTTAGGTTTTCTTGGGAGGCTTCAGATCAATATAGTTTCTACTTCTGCCAGGCAACATGGCTGTTCCTCATTACCCTTTCGCATATACGCATGCATATAACATAAAGCGTCTGGATGTGTTGAGGTGGTGCTAAAATTGAAAAGCGGTGTGATTTCTTCTCTAGCTGCTGACGGCTCCAGTGCCTTGGCTAGCACTCAAAGCAGGACTGGGCTCTTTGATGAATCTTTCATCGTCTTGAGAGACAGCCTTCATGCAAAATGCTGCACATGCTCCTCAGCACAGGCTAAGCGGACGGCCGCATTCATAGACAGCTTCAGAAACTGATGTTGTTTGCTGTGATTTAGTCCAGCGCTGGGTTTCCTCTCCTGAACGATGAGAGGATTAATCTCTGGCTGGTTTATTCCTGCATTATTTACGCCCGGACGGTTTTCCATCATTGACGTGAGCAGCCTGGGACAGAGCCACCTGTCAGAACACAGCACTTAACTCCTTAATGGATCACATATCGATTTTCATATATTTTTCTTGCTCTATAATTCATTTTACATAACCCCTGGCAAGTCCCATATGTTGTGTATATTTTTCTATAACTTGACAGAGATCAATGGCTGCACAAATACTTAATTTCAGTCCAGCTTTATTATAGCTCATGCGTTTAGTCATGGATGACGTGAACATGTATGTTCAGACTGCTCGTTTGCATAGTATAATCCAGTGTTTATATTTATATGTATTTATTTAGGACCTTATGAAGTTTCCAATAAAAAATTTCTGGACTCCTGTTTAATGGTTAAATTAAATTGTATTAATCAAAAAGCATATCTTATTAACTAAAATCATGAAACTGATACAGTTTAACATCCATTTATTATAAGTTTAACAAAAACTATACGTTTAGGGCCCTATGAAATGTTTTGTTCTTTTCTCACCTTCTGTTTTATTGTAACCAAATTCTGTGTTTAAGCATGTCTAATTACATTCTACTGAACAATAGTAATATATTTCTGGTATATTTCTAGTAATGTTTTCTTCAAGTTAAATCAAACTTTTATTTTGACAGGTTGCGTGAATTCATGTTTTTTTCCCTGTGTTTTTTCCCCTGAATTTCTGTGTGTATACGATATTGACAATAGTTTTTTCTCAAAATTAAAGAGTAAAATTCTCATGAAGTACTCTCAAAGCAGTTCTGGTGATGTTCATGTATTTATGTTCTCATTTAGTGAGACAGCAGATTTTGAAATCACTGCGAGCGTTACGTGCACTTCAGTATGTGTGGTAAACGAAATCGTATATAGACAGGTGTGTGGCTTTCCTAATCAAGTCCAATCAGTATAATCAAACACAGCTGGACTCAAATGAAGGTGTAGAACCATCTCAAGGATGATCAGAAGAAATGGACAGCACCTGAGTTAAATATATGAGCGTCACAGCACTTAGGACCATGTGATATTTCAGTTTTTCTTTTTTAATAAATCTGCAAAAATGTAAACAATTCTGTGTTTTTCTGTCAATATGGGGTGCTGTGCGTACATTAATGAGGAAAAAAAATTAATATGTTTCATGTTTACATCTTGTTTTTAAGCCCATAAATAATAATGTACGCGTTCTAATAAATTTATATTGTAATGCACTCATTCTAATATATAAAAAAATCATATTTACATTGCTGGTAGGTTATCATAGCACAAATTAACACACTCTCTACGTTAAAAAAATAAAAATAAAAATTAGAAGAGTTCTAAACTAATGCGCTGTGTCTTCTGTATCTAACGCGCACACACACGCTCAGTCACTCTGCGGCCGCACTCAGACATTCAGGAACAAACTTTTTAGCACTGCCCCGCAATTTGATCAACTAAATAGCTTAATCGCTCAAGAGCAACATTATCTTTCTCAACAAGGAGCTGGTAGCATCATTGTTTCTAAAGGAATTAAAGCCACAGCTTCACTGTTAATAGAGAAACGCGGCAAAATGGTGGTAATTCATACATACACAGCCTCCCCCTCTCTCGCTCTCTCTCTCTCATAAATGAACACTTGATGAATTACACTTTTCTGAGAATAGAATACTGAAGCGGAGATCGCTAAACTGCAAGCTAACCAGTATTTTCAGAAAGCAAGGGCGTTTATCCACTGTGGAGAGAGAGCGCGTACACATGGTTGCCAGGTTGACAAAGTAGCACACTTAGCAGATATTTCCGTATTGCGCAAGTGGGAAGCTCTGTTTCGGGGATTACGTCTCTTTATATCAGGCAACCCATTTGTGTTCCTCTGCGGCCAGATTAAACCTGGTTCTAGCCTATATATTATGCTCTATTCATTATTTTTTAGAAA